GACAGGGATTTCCCGCTATTTTTCGTCTCTCGCGCCAACATGGCTGCCGCGCCGTCCCTACTGAAGTTAGGGGACGAATTTCTCACTTGGGCAGAGTTTAAGGCAGCACTGGACAACTATCAAGAAACAACACACGCTGAGCTCAGTAAGATCAGTAGCAAGAAGGTGGAAACTGAGAACAGGAAATTACCTGAAGGCGTCCAAAAGTTTCCGTGTGCTCATGTTTATAGAGCGGTGAAGTTTGGATGTATTCATTACGGGAAGCCGCGCCCGTCAGGGTCGGGAATCCGGCCAAATCAGTCGTGAGTATACATCGATTTTTTTCTCATTGTAGCTCAGGAATTTCCCTTGGCTAGTTAAGTCACTCTTGAAGCCATACTAGCCACAATCCTTGGCCAGACTGAGACGAAAGATCTACTCTACTCTACTCTACTCTACTCTACTCTGTGGTGCATGTAGTGGGGAGGGGGGCAAATTTATGACTATTCAGTACTGGCGGGAAATTATGTGCAGGGCTCTCCCCAAGCAAATATTATGAAGCAGTGGTGTTCCCTCTCTCCCCCAAATCCTAGAATCCTTCCCAAAATTTTCAAAATCATGTTTTTTTCTTAGTATTTCCATTTCACAGAATTTTCATCATCCAATTAGTGAGCACCTCTCCCCTAAGAATTTGCTGGGAGAGACCCCTGTAATAGTCTGAAACTATAGCTATGTCTAAAACTATGTCTGAAGGGTTTGACTTCTCTTTTGTAGACCATGGAAGACGTAATGTCCCACTTTACCTGGCTTTGATTACTAGTAAGTCAAATGTAGTCTGTAGATAAGCTTCCCCTTCTGGTCTCGGACCGGAGTTTTCTGTGTTCGTATTTGTCATCCTCAGCCCGATGGGCTTTCATGTCTGTATAATAAATGCGGGTCAGAATTTTTTCATTCTTCCCATTGAAAGGGGTGTCATGCTGCTTAACAATACACTTGGTTGATGTTTTCTGCGCCCAATTTATTTAGGGTTAAATAAGGCATATCAAAGTACATTTTTAAGTGAGGGGTCATTGGTGAGGGGTCATTTTTTTACACATGGCTGCATGGAAAAACAAATTTTCCCAGGGTAACGGCTTACCTCTTGAAGAAACTCAGTTCCTAATGTTTCCAATGTCAGAATCAGATTAAAATCGATGCGATAAGTTAACTACTATCTTAGATGACCCAAACTCACCCACAACACACGTAGAACGCACCGTCCCTGTGATCAGGCGAAAAGATTACGTTATCATCCGCGCGGACTAATACCAGGAAGTCTCCGCTGGACCACCAAGATTACGCCACCTATAAAGGCTACAATTAACAGGCTTTTCAGAAAACAAAAGAAATATACGCAGCAGTTACCATATTAGGAATATCGTGGCCAAAATGTACCAACTTAAGTCACGTTCCCAGCGATTTACTACACACTTAATTAGACTCTGGTCAGATTTAAACTCCGACCCGGAACCTTCTGAGCTAGGTCAGGAAATCCACTCTGTAATTGTAATGCGTATATGGGTATCCCGTACATGAAACTATATATTTTTTATGGTTAACATGCATGACTATTGTGCAGTATATGATATGAAATACTTGATGTAGCTTTGCAATGAAGAAAAATGAAAAGCTGATGATACAGTTATGTTATATTTTTATTTTATTGTTATGTAGGTTCATTTGCTTGTTGTGTTGAATCATTCTCAATTGGTGCACAGTGCATGGACTGTCATTCACTAAATGTGTTCTTTTTCTTTGCTTAATTGTTTTAGAACCTTCAAAATGGGTTGTCCGGCGGAGATCTATGTGTCATCCGACCGTAAGAAGGGAAAGCTTGTCGTAACTAGCTTCAATGACAACCATAACCATGAGGTGGGTGAAGAGGTCCGGAAATACTACCCCTCACAGCGAAGGTTGGAAGGAGAACTTCTGGAAGAAGCCTGTAAGCTAACCAAATTGAGGGTGGATGTCAGGGTACTCAAAGACCATGTACACAAGACCAGTGGGAAACTAACAACTAGCAAGGATCTCCACAATTTGAGGGCAAGTCTTCAACAGGGAACAGAAGCTGATGCAGTCATCCGAGCCCTAGAGGACATCCTACACAATGACAAAGGCGCCAAGATAGCTGTGGTACTGGATCAGGATCAGACTCTAGAAGCTCTCTACCTCCAGACATCTGCTATGGTCAGCTCATTCAGCAGCTTCCCCGAGATACTATTCATGGATGCGACATACAAGACCAACAACCTGAACATGCCCCTTTTTACTTTGACTGTAATGGACGGGAATGGAGTTGGGCAGCCAGCTGGATACATCCTCTTGACGGATGAAACAAAGGAATCCTATGTAAGAGCCTTACAGCTCTTCAAAGAACACAATCCACAATCCACTGCTGTGGAAACTGTCATGATTGACAAGGATCCATCTGAGATAAAGGCTGTGAAAGAGGTGCTTCCCAACGCACAAGTGGTTCTATGCCTCTTCCACACTATGAAGGCTCTAAAGCAAGCCACAAGGCAGTATGTGAAGGATGTAGAGGTCCAAGAACAGCTGTCAAAACTGATTCAAAGGCTGGTGTACTGTCTTACAGAAGAACGCTATGACAACGCATATTCGGACCTACTAAAGATGGAAGGAGTTGGCGGTTTTGCTGAGTACTTCACCCGCAGCTGGCACAATGTTAGGCATCAATGGGCTAAATGCTTTGTTGATGGGTACACCAACTTTGGGAATCGCACAAATAACCGTGTGGAAAGCAGCCACGACAAACTGAAGAAGTTGCTCCGAGGCAAGGTTCCCCTCTCTAAGCTTATAGAAAACCTGGTACTTTTCTCCTCCACAAAGGCTTCTCAGGCAGATGTCGCAGAGTTTAACCAGCATATGAAGGTTGACGTAGCAAGATCATGCCCCGTAGAAAATGCGTACATTCACAGATGCACCAAATATGCCGGTGAGAGTATTTGCAAACAGCTGTCCTTATCCAGGCTGAAGAAGTATGAGGTAGGCAGAAACGAAGATGGCAGCTTTTCTGTGAAACTCAATGACAATTCGTACACAGTAAATGCCAGTTGCACACACTGTTCATGCGGTTACGTACGCAGCATGGGTTTGCCATGCAGGCATTTGTTCGTTGCCAGGCATAAAGGCAGCCTTGAGCTATTCGACATGGCCTTAGTAGCCAAACGCTGGGTCAAAGCCAAACCTGAGGCTGAAAGGGCCGAGGCCCCAACACAGAGTGTAGTAACATGCCGAGCACCTCCTCCCAGACCAGCAACATCTCAGGTTACAAAATACAGGCAGACATTAAACATTTGTAAAGAGATTGCCGATGTGAATAGCCTCTGTGGCCAGGTGGAGTATCAAAACCGTTTAACACAGCTATGCTTCATTCTGAAGTGCTTCAAGTTAAACCGGCCTTTGACATGCGTCTGCCCCGAAGACGACGAGTATCCTATTGTTCACTCTACCCCTGATGGTGACACAGAAGAGAGTCTTGCTGAACTCAGCAACGAAGCAGACGAAAGTGCACAAGTAGCTGAAAACCATCTCGTACACCTGGCCACGGTTCACTCTAACCCTGATGGTGACACAGAAGAGAGTCTTGCTGAACTCAGCAACGAGCAGACGAAAGTGCACAAGTAGCTGAAAACCATCTCGTACACCTGGCCACGGTTCACTCTACCCCTGATGGTGAGACAGAAGAGAGTCTTGCTGAACTCAGCAACGAAGCAGACGAAAGTGCACAAGTACCTGAAAACCATCTCGTACACCTGGCCACGGTTCACTCTACCCCTGATGGTGAGACAGAAGAGAGTCTTGCTGAACTCAGCAACGAAGCAGACGAAAGTGCACAAGTAGCTGAAAACCAAGACCTAACAAACAACAACAACAGTCCTATCAAGCCGGATAAGAAAATGCAGCAGCAAGATGAGATGACACAATTTGCTGCCCATGCAATGTCTCATCCACATCTTCCACGATTGTTGAAGCTTCCCCCGAAAATACATGTCAAGGGCAGACCCAAAGACTTTAAAAAAAGTGTTAACAAGTTATGTTCAAGAAAAAAACAGATTCGGGGAAAGAAGAGGCAGCCAGAGAAGGATACTGATAGTTTGCCACATCCTACATGCAAGAAACCGAAAGTTGCCGATCCGGAAAGCATTGAACAGGTTGTGGCAGGATGTATGTCCAGAGGTAAACTTGTCGTTGGGAACGTGTCACTAACAACCAGTGACTTGCAGAAGCTGTCCCCGGGAGAATGGCTAAATGACAAGGTTTGATCCTTATGCTATTTTTGCAGTAGGTATTGCTCATAACTGACATTTTTGTAGGTAAAATAGATTGCATGTATGCCATGTATAAATTGCAGTTGAGTGCTCTGTCATTGCAGATTCTCAAAGAACATCATTGTCATATTATCTATTTGCTATAAATTTTGTGACTTAATTGATATACTAGTAATGGACTTTCCTTTCTCTTGATTTGAAAAAAAAGTTGCTTACCATTTCATTGGAGGTGTGATGTTAGTTGTCAGGACAATATGTACATATCTGTATGTATTGTTGAAGCTATAGCTATGATTTCTTTGATAGACCTTAGCCAATCAAGAGTCATAGCACTGATGGCAAACACCCTTACACATGTATTATTATTCTTGTTTTCTTAACAGGTGATTACAGCATGCCTGGAGATGCTAAGTAAGCTCCATCCGGGTGAGGTATTTCCTCTCCCCTCCCAGCTAGTACTCATGTGGGAGAGACAGAGATCTCCAGGCTGGCTCTTCGAGAAGGTAACTAGTGCAAACTATTGTTTTATGACCCTATACTGCTGAACATCCATATTACTGAATAATTTCATAGCGAGAAAGTGCTAAATTTCTTTGATGTACTATTGGACTGCTTGCTATACTTGCTTGGTGGCCAATAATTCTAAAGTGTTCAAATCTCTATTATATAACTTACAGCTCTGGAAATCCGTTTCTCATTACTCTGTCGCATCTACTTGCTAATTATAGATAATGATAAAATAAATGCTCATTATTGTTTGATAATGTACTGAGAGCTTGTCAAGCAGTACTGTCTGCCAATCCAAAAAGAAGTCTTTTAGCATACGGAACAACATGGTGGATCCGATAGTGTGCCATTTTGTTTCCTTGATCCCTGTGGCTTGTTTCCTACTGTTTTCTGCAGATCTGCTTTGCAAGCTACAAATACTTGCTTCTGCCAATATGCCACCACTCCCACTGGATGCTGCTGGTGGCAAACGTACAAGAAAGGACCGTTGGCATCCTAAACTCAAGCAGTTTGTTCGACAAATACACCGGACAGTTCATTCCCAAGTGGCAGTAAGTGATGTATTATATGGCCTTCCTGTTACATGTAAAGACCTAATGGAAGCATTCTAACATGGGGGATATAACACTAGCCTGTGCATGGTTTGTCTGTTTGGATGGGAATTTAAAGTCAGCAGTCCTGCATATAAAGTTCACTGTTCTTAACCCTAACCAGCTCAACACACTTATGAAGAGGAGTATGCTAGGGAGACATGCAAAGATGTGCAAAGCCACATTGGACTGCTACCTTCTCGGTATAAGGTTTTGTTGAATTCATAGTCTCTCATGGGACTTGAAACAAATGCAAGTTGATAAGTTGAACATCCACTGACTATTTTTAATTGACGGTTTTGTTTATAAGATGAACTTTACAAGACCTGAGGCGGCTAACAAATGCTACACATATATCATTACTCAAATTTCTGCAGCTACATACTGCTCAGGTCCTTCGCTCTGGCCAGAGCATAGGCCACTGACGGCAGTTCTTCACCGCACTCATCTCTGGGCTGTCTTCCTCAGGTCCTCCCAGCTGCTCGCTAGTCTCCTCATCTCCTCCACAGTGTCTCTTCTCCAACTGTTTCTGGGCCATCCTTTCTTTCTTCTTCCCTGTGGATTCATTTTAGGGCCTGGTGTGTGTTGCTGGATGGGGGCCTATCCAGCCACATTTCCTCTCCTTTTTCCACAGCAACTTCATTTTATTTACAATAATAGGATAATGAATGCAGAATGACATAACATACAAAAGATGTTCTGCATCTATTTTATGCAGGGAATACATGAGACGTCGCAGCCTCGAGGTGGAGCCACAGCTGGCTTTGTGGCAACCTGTTCACATGACCAGCAACAGGCAGGCCGATGGTAGCTCTTGCGGAGTGTTTGTGCTGATGGTGAGGTTCTAATAATAATAAGTGACACTGCATTTGTATCCAAGTTGGAAATGTTGCATTTGTGAGCAAATGTACACAGTTGTGTTGTTATGTTTTGTGATAGAATTACTACCCATGTAATATCACTTGTCCTCCTTTATGCGTGTACTCCCCCCCCCCC